ATTTAATTAATGCACCTATATACTTGGTAAAGGGTGGAAGGCTCGGCCTTATGCCTGGTATTTTGTTCCACTCTTGCCGCCCTAGTTTCCGTCATACCGGTTTTATGTTCCTTGATTTTGCGTTCGTTACGCGGTCGGGTGATTTATGGGACCCCCTTGATAGTTTGCTTTGAATAAAACTCCTCCAGCAAGGCCCAACCTTGGTTTTACCATTTGCCTACCTAAGCCTTTTTCCCTTGGGTTTCCGGAGCCCGAGGGTCATCTTTATTTACCCCCCGGGGGGGCAGTGCTCCTCTAAGTGTTGGTCCAAACTAGAGCCCTTTGCAGCGCCCCCCTCGGGGAAACTTGTGGTTTTAGTTATACGGATTGCTCATCCGGTGTGCCCTGAGAACAGATATGTGCAAATCCTATCAGGATTTGTTGGCACATTCGGGCGGCTTTGCTGGTCTTGTTTTACCATTGTCGAAATGTCTTGTAAACCGGGATTCCGAGACTGATCGGGTCTTACTGGGAGAAGGAATATCCTTCGTTGACCATGAGAGCTTGTAATGGGCTAAGTTGGGACACCCCTGCAGGGTATAAACTTTCAAGAGCCGTGTCCGCGGTTATGTGGCAGATGGGAATTTGTTAGTATCCGGTTGTAGAGAACTTGACACTTGACTTAATTAAAACGCATCAACCGTGTGTGTAGCCGTGATGGTCTCTTTTCGGTGAAGTCCGAGAAGTGAACACGGTTTTGGGTTATGTTTGACGTAAGTAGGAGTTCAGGATCACTTCTTGATCATTGCTAGTTGTACGACCGTTCCGTTGCTTCTCTTCTCGCTCTTATTTGCGTATGTTAGCCACCATATATGCTTAGTTGTTGCTGCAACCTCACCACTTATCCGTTCCATACCCATTAAGCTTTGCTAATCTTGATACCCATGGTAATGGGATTGCTGAGTCCTCGTGGCTCACAGATTACTACAACAATAGTTGCAGGTACAGGTTATGAGATGATCATGACGCGAGAGTGATGTTTACTTGTTTTGGAGTTCTTCTTCTACTTCTTCTTCGATCAGAGGATAGGTTCCAGGTTTGCAGCCTGGGCTACCAGGGTGGATGTCGTTTGAGCTTCTGTTTGTGTTTCATCCGTAGTCGGATGTTGCTCTTATGTATGATGATGTTGTATTCGTGTGGCATTGTATGCCTCTTTTATGTATCCCCAACTATTATGTAATGGTACGATGTAATGATATCCACCTTGCAAAAGCGTCTCCAATATGCGCTTCTATCCTTGGTGGGACCTTCGAGTTCCTTTAGGATAGGGTCGCATATTGGGCGTGACAGTCTAACCCCAGCGAGTCACTCGCCACCGTCCAACCCGGGGACGTCGTCCCATCCTGGCCGATGTCGAGGCTTCCGACTCCAATGCGCACCGCTCGCTACCATGTTTGATTGATGAACGCCGGTGAATCTGCTTTGTACGTCATAGCGGAGGCGAGCACATACTGGTCGTCCGCCTTCTCTCATATTCTTGCCACCCTCAACCAACACCTTGATCATGTCGCCTTCAGCACTGCCGCCAAGCAACACAGTGAATCACATCATGTTCGTCGATGAGGCGTCCAAGCACATCACATCGCTCGCCACCGTCCGACCCATGCACGTCGTCCCATCCTAATCCAGCGCATCACTCGTTGTCCTGTTGATGGGCACCGGGGAGTTCGCATTATAGGCATCAGGTCGTTCGCCTTCTTCTCCTACTCATCATGCTCCACTGCTGCCTCTACCCCAACGACTTCCGCGTGACCGGCAAGCAAGGGCACACATGTGAGCTCCCTATTTCAATCCATTATTTACTCTATGTTGCCCATTCTATCTGAGCCCCAACCCCTTATTTGATTTGTATGGTATTTTGGACTCTGCAATTTGATTGACTGAACTATATATACATAGATATGTGGATTCAAAGACATGTGTTTTTCTTGCGGAAACACAGGAGACACAGTTGTACGAGTTCCCTCCCGACGGTAATACTTGCGGATTTTGGTACTAATCACAAGGACAATTAAAACCATGACGTTTATGTTGTGATTCTATACTTTTTTTGTAGTCTGCACAACAATGTAATAGGGTCGCTATTCTGATTATTTTTTGAATCAACTATTACTATATGGAGTGATTTAGATCTTGGCATTATTCATTTTTTATGGCCATGTGACAATGTTTGGAAGCAGCCTATGAAGGACAATGTAGGAAGCAAGGAGCCACCTCTTGTGATTTCCAATATCCTTTTCTTTTCAATTGTTTAAATCATTGTGCGAGTGTTGCGTGTCATAAAACAAATACAAAATTTATTGCATGTAAATAAAAATTGTCATATAACTGATTCTAGTTTTATCATCTTGGCCGCAACAAAATCCCGCAGCAACGCACGGGATGTCATCTATTTGTTTTAGTTAATCAATCTTAACCCTTCATTCTAACTTCCATTGTCTAGTCTCATGTCAATTCCTATGAATCAAACAAGGGAGTATAATCCCTCCTCGTATTCTCACACATAATTTCTATCACGCACCAAACAAAGAATTGGGAACAAAACGACTCATCCCATGTCTAATCTCAACACCACTCCCTCTTCTAAACTCCCGTTCCCATTCTTTTTTTGAGGGTACGCCAATGGCGTACCTTAGCTTTATAGAAAGGAGAAAATATGTACAAGAGATTACATGTCGCTAGTTAGGAGTCACAAGTCGACCCTAACCAAGCCTCCACACCACTCCCTAGCTCTACACGACTACTCTATGATTGGTTGTCCTCCAAAAGCACCTGCTTTGGCCCAGGTCCGCAGCTCATCGAAAATTGAGTCTACCGTGTTCCACTCGTTCTTGATCGTGCCCGTGCCGAAGACCCTTACATTCCTTTGCTCTCATATCGTCCCAACAGATTAGCATCACGAAAGTGTCAAATCCTTTCCGAGACTGCTTATCTATTAGCTTTCTCGTATCCGTCCACCACTGCACCAATCTAGAGTCGTTGGTTGGGCAAAGGTCGGTCGTCAACCCCATCCTAGTAATGCAGCGGAACCACACTTGCCGCGAGAACACGCACTGCAGCAATATATGGTCAACTGTATCCTCCTCCTGATCACACATGTAACATTTGGATGCTTGGTCTTGCAATCCGTGCCTAGCTCCCCTGTCCGATGTCCAAAGACAATACTGCACCGCGAGCCACATGAATAACTTGCATGCAAGTGGTGCCCAACACGTCCATATTGCTCCGAAGCAGTGGAATCTGACTCTTCCCTCGCATAACATCCTTGTGCGCATATGATGCAGTATAGACTCCAGATGTGTTCCAAGCCCAAATTGGGCGGTCCTCGACCTGAGCGTCCAATTGAACTTCCAACAGAATCTCCCAAAGTCCGATGAACTGGGCGAGGCCCTCAGTGCATAGCTCTCCCACGACATCATCCATCCATGAATGCATGCACATCGCATCCCGCACCAGTCTCCTGTTTGCCACTTGTGTCCGCACCTTTGCCACGACTAAGGGTGCAAAATCTTTAATAGCTGCTCCATGTATCCATCGGTCTTTCCAGAACAAGGTCTTGCCTCTTGAGCCAACTTCCCATTTGACTAAACTCCCAAAGGCTTGGTCCACCTTTTTGTCCGCGGTCAAGTTGAGGCCTTGCCACGGTCTGGAATCATCCGTGCGTCGAAGCCATTCCCATCTTAGTCTTAAGGCGATGCTGTGTTTAGACAGGTCAATAACACCCAAACCTCCCAAGTGCTTAGGCCTGCACACCCTAGCCCATGAGACGACACATTTGCCTCCATTCACCGCCTCGGTTCCGGCCCAAAAGAATGCCCGACAACCCTTGTCCACTCTCTCCAGCGCCCATTTGGGTGCCTCTGCTATCATGAGGTGGTGTGTAGCGCGCGCCCTCATTACTTGATTGACAAGAATGAGCCTCCCCGGCCTCGTCACGAGACCCCTTTGCCATCCTGGCATGATGTGGAGAGCCGTGTCAACAATCGGCCGCCACTCTGATCTTTTGAGTTGCCTGATACTAAGCTGGAGCCCAAGGTATTTGCATGGAAATGTGTCAATTCTCCATGGCAGCACAGACTTAACAAGCTCTTCATCCTCATTTTCTGCTCTGATCGAGATTGCCGCAGATTTGGAATAGTTCGCTTTGAGCCCCGATGCCACTCCGAATATAGCAAGGATTTCTTTAACGAACATAAGGTTTGGCCATGCTGGTTTTATGAAGAGCACCACATCATCAGCATACAGGGACAAGCGCTGCATTGGACTACGACCATTGATGGTACTAAGCACTCGTGTCTCATGCGCCTTGGATATGATTGCCGTGAGCACATCCATGGCAATAACAAAAAGCAAGGGGGAAATCGAGTCCCCTTGCCTTAGCCCTTTAGCATACATGAACTTGTCACCAGCACATCCATTCACTAGAACCCTCGAGCTGGCAGTGATGAGGAAGATCGCGATCCAAGAGATCCAGCGCTCCGAGAATCCCTTGGCTCTTAACACCTCAAACAAAAATGACCACGCCAGCGAATCAAAAGCTTTTGTTATGTCAAGCTTGAGCATCACTCCCTTGGCTTTTCTCCTATGCAGCGTGCGTGCCATTTGTCGAACCAGTAGAAAGTTGTCATGCAAGCATCTGCCCTTAATGAATGCGGACTGGTTCGTCTGAACAAGCTCTCCCATGCACAGTCTTAGCCTAGCAGTCAACAGCTTGAAAGCTATCTTGGGCATACTGTGCACAAGGCAAATAGGCCGGAAGTCGAATACCGCGCATGCTTCCGGTGTCTTCGGTATCAGAGTGATCAAAGCTTGGTTGAGCCTTCCAAATCTCAAATATTGCCAAACACTCTGTAAAGCAAAAGAGACCGCTCCCGCTCCCTCTCCCTCTCCCTCTCGGCCGCTCCCGCTCGCCACCACCACCGCATCGCAGCTCCAAACCCTAGTCCCAATTCCCAAGGTTAATGTCCATGGAGAACCCCAGGCCGCCCCCCCCTGCCATCACCCCTCCCATGGCTCCCCTCCCCGTCCACCCGCCCATTGCTCCCATCCCCATCCCCGTCCCACCCTCCACATCCGCCGCTGCCGACGATGACGAGGTCGACTACGAGGTCTCCGACGACCACCACGCCGCGCGGGAGCGCCACGAGCGCGCCGTACAGGAGCTCCTGCAGCGCCGACGCGCCTACACCATGGCCGTGCCCACCAACGACTCCGCCGTGCGCGCGCGCCTCCGCCGTCTCGGCGAGCCCATCACGCTCTTCGGCGAGCGCGAGATGGAGCGCCGCGACCGCCTACGCGCACTCATGGTCCGCCTCGAGGCCGACGGCCAGTTCGACCGCCTCCTCCGCGTGCAGGAGGACGAGCAGGGAGCCCCGGGCGACGACGACGACATGGAGCAGATCCAGTATCCTTTCTTCACCGAGGGTACCAACCAACTGCTCCAGGCGCGCGTTGATATAGCTATGTACTCACTGCCCCGCGCTAAGGCCAGGGTCGACAGGGCCAAGCGCCGCCTCGCTGACCCCGACGAGGACCCCGAGGCAGAGGCCGCCCTTGTTGTCAAGCAGGCGGGGGACTTCGTGCTTGAGTGCAGCGAGATTGGAGATGACCGCCCGCTCACCGGCTGCTCCTTCTCCCGCGATGCCTCAATGCTCGCCACAAGGTACGTCTTCAAAGTAACAGATTTCTGAAAATGCATTGTTTGCTTGTGTATGAGACGAATAGTGAGGAATGCTTGCCTAAAGCTGCACACCACATCATTATAATCTTATTTGAGCTCAGTTCTTAATTTCGGTTTGGCTATTGCGATTGAGCATATATAGTCTAGTGAGTAAGATTTCTTGTATGTTAGGTTTTTAATGACTGAAAACAATCTGAATCGCTGCTTATCATAGCAGACGCCCATGTTTCTTCAAATTTTTATGCATTTATCCATACATATTTGCTTGAGCACTTCATCAGTGATAATTGCCAACTGCTTTCGTAGCCAGCCAGGTTTAGCTTGCACACGTTTAAAATTGCATTTTTATTTCACCATGAAGAGATATGGGATGAATTTGATGCTATTGCAACAAAATGTTGGTATATGATGGTTTCTGAGCTTAATTAATGCCAGTCCTTTTTCTATTAGTATAACTAGAAATTTTAGTGTTCAATATGACAACACTGTCAAGAAGTCAGGACCAGAGTTTCTTCTTTTCCTGGTAAACAAAGGTTGGTATTCTGCATATCAGTTAGGCCCATTTTAGGTGGACTGCTGTCTATGTTAGTATTTCATTGTTAGCAATGTCATGTGCAATTAGTTGTTCGTCAGCACCTAATGCCCTTCTCTTCCTTTCTACTCCCTTCGTTCCCAAATATTTGTCTTTCTAGGCATTTCAAATGGACACAACATACGGATGTATGTAGACTTATTTAGAGTGTAGATTCACTCATTTTGCTCCGTATGTAGTCACTTGTTGAAATCTCTAGAAAAACAAATATTTGGGAACGGAGGGAGTAGTAAAAATAACTATTTGTTCCTCTTGGTTCTGCAGCTCCTGGAGCGGGATCATCAAAGTATGGAGCATGCCACAGATAACTAAAATTGCAACCCTGAAAGGTCATACAGAACGTGCAACTGATGTTGCCTTCTCTCCAGTTGATAACTGCTTAGCGACAGCCTCAGCTGATAAAACTGCAAAATTATGGAACAGCGATGGGTCACTCCTAATGTCTTTTGATGGTCACCTGGATCGTCTTGCTCGCGTTGCTTTTCATCCATCTGGAAAGTACCTTGGTACAGCTAGCTTTGACAAGACCTGGAGATTGTGGGACATCAATACTGGAACTGAACTTCTACTCCAAGAGGGACATAGCAGAAGCGTATATGGTGTTAGCTTTCATCCAGATGGTTCTTTAGCTGCATCTTGTGGGCTTGATGCGAATGCTCGAGTTTGGGATCTAAGGTCAGGAAGATTGTACTGTACTCTCATTGGACATGTGAAACCTGTAAGTTAACAGCATGGATACTTCTCAAGTGCCTTACTTGCTCTGTGATATCCGACTATCTGTTGTGGAATATATTTCCTTTTTGAAACTGACATGATTCTATTTTCTCTCTCAGGTCCTAGGAGTCAGCTTCTCCCCTAATGGTCATCTAGTTGCAACTGCAAGTGAAGACAATTTCTGTCGAATATGGGATTTGAGGACCAGACAAATGTTATATTCTATACCGGCACATAAGAGTCTTATCTCGCATGTGAAATTTGAACCCCAGGAGGGTTATTATTTAGCGACATCCTCCTATGACACTAAAGCAGCGGTAT